TTCTCAGAACTTCGGATGAACCCAGGCCATACCCACCCATTCTACGGAGATTCTAGACGTGCCTGTGCCACCTTTTGACCCCCCAGCATCACTCATCACCTAGAAGATGCACTCTGTGAACCCATTTCCTTCTGGTTTCCTTCACTGGGCATGATTATTTGAGATCCATTTATTATTGCGAGTATCAGTAGTTCGTGTCTTGTTATCACGGAGCAAAATCCCATAGTTTGTTCATCCATTTATCTGAGAAGTTCACGCCCCATCAGCATTTACAGCTCAGGGTGAGGACGTGTATCGGCTCCTTTCTAGAGAGCAGGGTTTGACCCTGGGGGCTGGGGCTTTGGGATGACCCCCAAAGCCAGGAATGTGCTGAGAGGCGATGACAGTGTGCCAGTGAGCACCCCCCCAGATTTTCCTGGGGGCTCCTGGGGATTCCCTAGGAAGCTGAGGAAGAGCAGTGCCCACCCTCCATAATTTATGACCAGACTGCTTTTGTTCTTTATTTCTTGGACTTTGCATCAGAAGCAAGAATCCAAGTTACACCAAGGGCGGCTGCAAAGATATTTTCCCTGTCTACCAGACAGAGTCCTGGAAAACAGAAGGCCGAGGAGACAGGGAGGTTCCCCTCCTGTTGAGCCCCACAGGGTGCATTACTAGCAAACTCTTGGCCATGAAGTTAGGAGTCAAGTCCAGTAGATCTAATTCAATTCCAATTTTCTGTTGGAATTATAGTAATCCTAGACCTCAGCACGTCCAGAACTGTGAGCTAAACATTGAATTCCTCAGTATACTTAACTCATGTGGTTATGAGTCATTTTTAATACGTTCAACAGATATGCTGGTTTCCAAGCTGCATATCCAAAGTAAGGGTTTTAATTGTTTTCCTTAGTGATTTGCTCATGTCTGCATACCAGCCGTCAGGCCTGGCTGACCAAAGCCATCTTGAAATATTTAACTTAGGATTCAGTATAGGACTAAAACATCAAATATTTCTAAGATCTCTATCCAGAGACCCAGATCATTCATCAAAGTTAAGTTCCAAACCAAGTTACAGTAGGAGGTAAAGTCAACCATGTACTTTATACATTATGTTCTATATGGAATGAATGAAATTTTACATTTCATGTAGGACATTTTTATGCATGTAGGAACAAGTTTAGTATATCTTTTACAAATCTGGCGGGGAAGGAAATATTTACCTGGTGGGCAATACTTTTGAAAATTCTAGAATAATATTGAAGATACCCACATTCATAAGGCTGCTTATCTTCATATTGATGTATACCTTAAACTGCAATGTGCCTGCATTTACTTGGAATGTCAAATTAAGCAAGTAATAGAAGTTTGCAGAACAAGTTGTTCTTTCTTACCACTTTGAGCAGCCCTCCCCCCCCACACACAAGATTGGAGGTAGGTGGGAAATAGCATATGTTCATTTTGAAATTAAACAATATAGAAATTCATAAAGCAGAAAGTGAAAGATTTCCCTGTTATTAAACCTGACTGCATTCTCACACCTCTAAAATGGTTATTGCGCATAGTTTTGTACATATGTTGTTAGTCATTAAAAATACACACACAGCAGTATTTGAATATGAATTAAATAGGATTACTATATACATATGTGATGTTGTGCCTTATAAGAAATACATATTACAGCTTTGGACTTTACATTCATTGATCGATTTTGAGTTAATTTTTGTGAAGGGTGTGATGTCTGTGTCTAGATTTATTTTTTTGCATGTGAATGTCCAGTTGTTCCAGCACCACTTGTTGTGAGTTTTTTCAATCTTTACTTTTTACTTTTTCCCCCCAATCAACTGTGATTAGTAACACAGGGTTAAAAACAAAGCACAACCTGTCGTTCTCCATTTGATTTCTCAATAAATTTACCCAAAATCTCTATGGCTTGCCTGAGTAATTCCTCGTTTCACTTCACCTCCCCCGATTTTTGAGGCTGTATGCTGATTTTTTGTGTTTGGGGGTCCCTAATATAAGAAACCTATGTCTGAAAGCCATTGAGACATTGACACAAGAGTCAGGTGGGTGAAAATAAGCCTCCTGCTTTTGTTAATGTTAAACCTGGTCCTGGAGAGTGGGAGCCAGATGGGCCTGCTTGTGCTCTTTTCCTCCGAATCTTCCCAAGTCTGGACCTTAGATAGAACAAGTCCCCCAGGGGCAAACTCTCAGTGCTGGGGTCAAATCAACAGGTGAACTGAAGAGAAAGACATAGGCCCAGAGGTTCTCAAAACACATGTGGTGACTGCCAACTAAAGAGAAAGTGGTTTGGGGGACAGAAAGCACAGGCTATGGAAACACAGGGAGCTGGAACTGGATGAACCGGCGGCCTCTGGGGACCTCAGTGGTGTGGGCTGCCCCTCCCTGCGGGTGTGTGGCTCATATTAGTGAAGCACTGACCATCGATCCCAGACCCTCTCAGGCAGATGTGGCTGGACCCACTGAGTCACCACTAGCTAGACATGTGCTTAGTCGATTTTCCTTTTTAAAAAATGAGTTCTTAATCACACCATGTGATATAGTAATAGATCTTCCTTATAAAAAATTTAAGCCTCACATATCAGACAAAAGTCTGCCTTGGTCATTGCTACCCCGCTGATTCCCACCACAGCGATGAGCTGTTCTACCGCATTTCCCGCTCCTCCACTCCATAAAGCAAGCGTCCGGGCCTCTCCGTGCCTTTGGGGCTGGCCTGGAAAGCCCTGCCCGAGCCTGGGGACTCCGACCAAGAGGCAGTGATGCCTATCAGTGGAGGAAACACAGGCCTGTTTTGTTTCACTGCTTTTTATCCGCCCACAGTCTGGGACGAGGTGAGCCCTGGGGACAGGGGCCATGCTCTCCCCCGGGAACCCCGCCGAGAGGTGGCGGTGGCACTTCCAGGGCGGGCCAGGCTTTGCAGGGCCCACTCTGTTTGCAGGCTCCGAGGGCTTTCTTAAGGACAGGGTCCAGGGGGCCCCGACTGGCCGTTCCCGGGGACTACCCCCACCGGGGGCTCATACTTTGCTGGGGAATTCTTCCAGGTAAAGCCTGGAGACTGCGTATTGATTTCTATCTTTCTCGATAGTGAAATGAATTAGATGCCAGCCTAGGCCCTGCAGGAAATAAACCCACAAACTAGACAGTTTTCATTTAGTTAGCACTCGGGAAAATAAGAGGGAGAAATACTAAGATTAAGATATTTTATTTTGAGTTTAGGAAAATCTTTTCTTTTTCTTTGATTTGAAAGAGAGAGAGAGGAAGGGGGAGAGAGAAACATCTATTGAACCTGAAACCTCGGTGTATCAGGGCAATGTGCTAACCTACTGGGCTACCCGGCCAGGGTAGGAAAATCTTTTAAATCTATATTGATTTTGTGCCTCTCTCCTCAGAATATTCTAAATGTAATCGTATACCCAAGTAATAAACACAGGGTTTAGTAGAGTCTTGGCAGCAGAAGCAAAACCAAGAAAGTAGGAAACACAGCGTGTTTAATGTAGCAGATGAGTGACGGCGAGTGCCTTTGGACAGCAATTTATCTGGAAAACTTTCTCTAAGATGCTTCTACTGAAACTCAAGTAGGCGCGCCCTCTCTCCTCCCCTCCTCTTGTGGAAGATTCGAAAACCTATTAGAAAATTTTCCTGATTTTCCCCTTTTTCCTTCTAAAGATGGAAATTACAAGCAGATCAGTCTGCTGAACTTCGCTCATTCTCGCGGGCCGTCTCTCATTTCTTTTCCTTTCTAACGGGTACTTCGCACTTGCCTCTCGTACTTTCTTGCCACTTCCATGTGTTTCTGCTCTCGGGTGGCGGCCACGCCACTCGCCGGCCCCTTTGCACTGGGCTTCCCGGGGGGCCCAGTGCCTCTGGGAGCCTTGGGCCAGCCCGCTGACCATTTCTCTTTCCGTCGCACTTGCCACCGTGCGTTAAGGGTACTGCGTTCTTTTGCACATGACAGGCCCCAGCGGCTCCTGCGAAAACCTTCGGCATCTGTAACTTGAAGCCTCCCGTCTGCGCTCTGGGCAGCGAGGCACGAACGACGGTGCTCTCCACGCAGAGCAGGGGCACAGGGCTTCCGTGGGCATGAAGAACTGTCCTTGTTTCCTGGGAGCTGCGGTGCCCGCCGCCTTGGCAGGGCTCAAACTGGAAACGCCCGCCAGGGGCACGTTTCTGAGACGGGGAGGGAAGGAGGCACTAGAGCTGCGATTCTGATGACGGGGGCAGCTACAGGGTGTTTCTGGTCCGGCTTCTTGAGGAAAAGTCAGGGAAGATTTCCTCAGGACCATGAGCAGCAGAGCAGTAAGGGACCCAACAGGCCCTTCTGGAAGGGACCCAACAGGTCCTTCTGGAAGGCGGCGTCTCATAAAACTAGTGAGGGTGTGCGGCCACCTTCCAAACTGCAGCGCTGCTTGGTCACATCTTTATTGCTGTGTAGCTGCGCAATGCTGACGCCAGCCTTGTTATTATAGATGTAAATATGGGGTGTAATTTAGGTTCAAATTTCTTGGTTAAAGAATGCTATAAAATTTGTATAAACGTTAATGTCACTGCCTCTGAAATAGCAGATTCGTTTTACATCAAAGACTCCGGTCCCATGCAAAAGGAAAACTGGTATTTTCTTTTGAGTTGAATGGTATTTTTGAAGTTTGCGGTTAAAAATAAATACTTTTAAAATTCAAGCTTACTGATTACAAATAGTATGCCCATGGTTGAGAAATCATTTAAAACATACAGCAGAGAGAATACGGTGAACAGTAATGTAATAACTATGTATGGTGTCGGATGGGTACTAGATTTATCTGGGAAATCACATCATAAGATATATAAATGTCTGATCACTAGGTTGTACACCTGAAACTAATATAATATTGTATGTGAACTGTAACTGAAAAATAATTATTTAAAAATAAAATGAAAAGCTTCTGGCTTATTAGTCATTGAGCCACTGATCTGAAAAATTATACCACTTCCTGGGCCAGGACCATAATATATAACACAGAACACTCTTATATGAAGAAAATTTTATTACTGAAAAGAATAAAACAAAGTTTATCACATAAAACAAAGTTTTTGTATACAAAGCTACCAAATGTGGAAAAGCTAATATTTACATTTTCCATACAGTACATGATATTTTTGTGTGCTTTAACAGAAGGCTGAATAGAAAAAAAACCAAAAGCATCAGAAAACTTGTTCAAGGAATAATACTTAATTAGAAACAATATTAAGAAAATTCTTTAGTATTTTAAAGTATGTTATATGAAAGACATTTTATTTATCAGGACTATAGCTTTTCCACTTGATTGGCACTAATATTGCTAACACACTTTTTAATGCTCAGCGAAGTCCTAATTAGCTGCAGAAATGAATTCTACGTAATATCTGAGAAAGATAACTGCACAAACACAAAGCATCTGTAGTATTCTGTTAAAAGACAAAAGTTAAAACAAAAGTATAAGCAACTGTAAATGGTCATAATACAATCTTGGGTGGTCATGAAACATTAAAAAAAAAAATCAACTGCACTTGGCCTAATTTATAAAAGAGTAACATTTCACCTACTAATTCTTTAGAACATTTTTAAAATACAGAAGGATCAGCAAGCAATATAACACAACCAACATTAACTCTTTCCAAAAGCACCTTATTTCAGTTGTGTAATAGAGCTGTGAAATTCCTAAAATAATGAGACTTATAAAATTCACACACTGAAGTAGATTTTTTAGTTGAATTCCCATAATGCCTTCTGGTGTGCCAACTGTTTTTTATACTACAAAAGAACACAATTTTTCAATTTTCTTAGAAATTCAGTGTAAAAGCTACCAAAGTAGTGTGAAAATATCAGACTAATATAATAAAATATTTGAGTAGATTTTCCAGGATTTCTAAAAAAAGTTCAAGTACATATAAACTTATTTTCAAACGTATAAAAAAAGATACAAGGATAAGTTTTAAATACTTCAGCAAAGAAAAATCTTGATTTTATATCATAAAAGTGAAATAGCATTGTACACCTTAAAATATTTTAATAAGAGTAGAATCTTCATAAATAAAAAAAGGAAGATTCCTCTAACTCCCTTCTCCCACACAATTTAAAAAATATTAACCTGCACGTTTCTGTTTTTCAGGTATATTGTCATTAACCTCTGTGTGAAATGAATCGTATTATTCTCAGCATCTTGTTTCCAGTGTAACAGCAGGCCATGGAAATTTAAGTAGAAAAGAAGACTCTAACAGTGGTTCTTATAAGACAGTGTACTGGTCTCCAGTGTAACACAAATCCGCTTCTTTAAGGAATAACCTGGTTTTCAAGTATCTGAGTGGCTGCCAGAGCCCTGCTCTTTCCTAACTCCCGCAGCCAAGTGAACGAGCAGTGATGTGGAGTCTTTCGGGCTGCTTGGCTCTAAAGGGCTGGGAACCTCCAAGTTCTTGCTCTGCACCAGGCCAGTTTCAGTAGCATCACTTTTTGGAGTCACCCTAGGTGAAGAACAAAAGTTGACATACATACAAGCACAAATGTGATGCCAGATGTCCTCATAACTGCTATGCACTTTCATGAGTTTTACTTCCAACCAGTGTCCACTTTTGTCATAGGATAATTAACTAAAACTCCTTATGTCTACTCTAACGCCTCAAAATACAAATACTTTATTTTCAAATAAGTTTTCTAACTTTGGAAACTGTCAAGCACCACCCATGCACAGGCTGAGCATGGTGTCTCGCAGGGAATACAATTAGACGGGATTCCTGCCCTCAAGTTAGCAAGTTTTACTGATTTCCCACCATGGATCAGACACATGGAAGCGTGGAGGTTGGGAATACAAAGACAGGACCTCAGCTCTGCCTTTAAGGAGTTTTCAAATGTAGCAGAGGATAAGGCAAGTATCTAACTACAATCCAACTGCTGCAGGAGCACAGAGGTGCATTTGGCCTAGTCTGGAACGGGAGGTGGGACAACCCTGAGACCTTCAGGTAGTTGTCAGCACTCTGGCTAATTTCACGTGTACCTGTGCCTGATCACCTATGGCTACATGGAAAAACTCATTCGAGATAACATCAATATCCTTTCATGCTCGAAAATAAAAACATCTTATAATCATCTTTGTCTGAACTGACAGGTACCTTTTAGACACTATCGTAATGCAGTATAATTAAAACTTAGCCTGAAGATGGCGGCGAAGAAGCTGGAAGTTACCCTCGCCTCCTCCCAGGACCAAACTGGAATTACAACTAAAATATAGAACCATCGGCCTTAATAAAACTTAGCCTACATTTCTGATAAATCTTAAACATTTACCTAAATATACATGCAGCTCTTAACAATGACCACAGAAACGAACATCACTGTGCTGCTTGAACTACATATGAAGGCTCTTCGCCAAGCTAAGAATTACACTGCAAGAGCGTATTTTTAGGCTGAACTTCAACTTCTTAACGCCAAACTTCCTTGGATCAGGTGCATAAGCCCGTCGCCTCATAGAATGCTTTCTTTCCAAACATGCTACGCTTCAATGAACAATGTACACTGCAGTCTGCAGAACAGTCATGATTTAAGACCAAACGAGCGCTCACCTCCCCTCACTCCGCGCACTTTCAGATACGCTGCTCCTATCGGTGGCGCCGCCCGCCCGGCCTTGCCTGTGGGCCTGCTCCCCGCACAGTTTGGAGCTGGATACTGCTGGGGAGGCAGGCTCCCCGCAGTCCTGTTCTCTTGATTTGGGGGTGCTCACTCCGTCTCCTCTCACTTCCCTCACGGTCGTTTCTGGAGAGGTTGGGATTTCTGTCAAAGTTTCTTGTCCTAAGTAATCGTGGTTCGTGATGGCCACTGCAGAAGTGCTGTGGTTTGCTGAGGTTCCTGTGCTGGTTCCCATGGATTTGGAAATGACCTTCAGCTTATGTGAACTCGGCTTGTAGTGCTTCTTTTTGTGTTTAACTTTAGAATTGTGCTTTAAGAAAAACTCACATGACTCCTGTAGTACTCGTCGACTTTCACTGATGGGACTGTAAGAAAATCCAAGGACAGGATTTATGTATAAATGTTAAGTGTTATAGCAGAAGCCAAAAAGCATATCACATAGCTGTGCTAAAAGTCCTTATTCAATAAAGTTAAAAATTATAAAAGATTTATATTATTTACAAAATCTGGGATCATAAATACTATGAGATACAAGTAGACTGCTAAGAAGTGAAATCTTTTCTGTATACACTGTTAGTTGCTTTTATCAGCATAAATAGTAGACTGATAAAAAATTAAATGGGCAAAATCAAATCATATGTAAGCATATCAAATATCAAAGTAAACCAGAGGAGAGAGGACACAGAACATGATTAGTGGTCTTTGCTTAAATTCAATTGTTTTCTTTTTAACATTAAAGTTAGCAAGTTATACTGAAGTCAGTGTGGGTATATAAATATGGAACGGACATATAAGAAGAGTGCAAAAATTTAAAGTCCAGTTAAATACAATTCTTCAGATTGCAAAAACTTATTTGTGAAAAAGTCTACAGTTCTGAAATTTTTAGCACAAAAAAGTTCATTAATCAAACCAACAGGGATCGGTTTAAAAAACTCTCTTGTACACTTGATAGTACAGAGTACACAATGTATGTAAATAACTAAAGTGAACTATTCACTCATAAATGTAAATCTACTATATTGTTCTAGAATATTTCTTAAGTTTGAATTTTTACCATATTAGGCAAGATAAGTAAGGGAAATTTTAAGTCAACACTGTGTGTAATAAAACTTAAAGGTAAACAGTGATCGTAACACATCACATCTAAAGCATACTTTATAGATTTCCTTACATATACTTGATCCCATTTAATCTTTTAACATTGACAAAAAAGGAAAAAGTTCTTAAAAGTGCTACACCCAAAATAATGAATCCAATGAAAGCAGTAAGAATACTGGATATATTATAGGCCAGGGAAAGAAAATACGTATTTATAAATCTTTCATTCACATTTCAAGAGACTAGTGTATGTCAAAGACTATTATAATGAGTGCCAGAGCAAAGCATCTCTCTCCATGAGGTTTCCAAACTCGAAACACCTGGTATAATAAAGCTCCAGAACAATGACTCCAATAGTTCTTTGGTATTTGAACTATTTCTTTTTAAGACAGTGTCAGATAATTTGATAGGTTCTTACTCTCTCTTGCGATTACGTTTAAAAAACACAGCCCATTCTGTGCATGTCTTTTTGCTTCCAACCCAGAAGACAGCAGAGATGCCAACAATTAACGTCATCAGATATTTTATCATAAATAAGGCCAATTCTGGTCGAGTTTCTGCTTTTGCCTGTAAAAAAAATGTCAAACAATAAAAATGTCAGTGATACAGTCTAAGTGGAGAGAAGTCTATATAGTCGAAGTAAAACTAACAAAAAATATAAATCTTCAGTCTGTTTTTTATAAAATATTTGATACGACATATTATATAATGAATAGTGCTTTAAGTGTAATACATTCTTAACTTCTGAACAAATAACCTTATATATGTGTCAAAATATATAGCTAGAAAGGGGAAAATACTTAAATATATTTAGGAAGGATGTCCTTCCTAATCTTGGCTTGATTTCCTGAACTTTTTCCCCCCAAATATTTGCCTCTAAATATTTATCTTTTTCCTTCATTTTAATCTACCACAAACACACACACATTTAACTCCTTATAACAATATACTATTTTAGAATCTTTACACATTGTTGGTGTTTATGTTATAAAAACCTGATTTGTTAGAGCAAAATAAATATCATTCAAGTGAAAATTTCATAAAAATTCATACTTTAAGTATAAACTTTCAAATATTATTTTTATATGTTATACAGGTGTCAAAAAACTATGCATTTCATAGTATATCTTGCTTTTTTCACTTACTAATATTTCTTGGAGACCATTCTTTATTGGTAGAAATAGAGCTCTTTATTTTAAAGGCTGTTCCATTGTGTGAACCATAATTTATTCAAGTACCCTTATTAATGGATATTTAGGTTATTTTCAACCTACTGCCATTGCAAATACTGCTTCAGTGACTATCTCTGTATGTATGCAATCACTCACATTTGCGAGCAGATTCTTCAATAAATTCCCATAAGGGCAGGATGAGAGAGTATGTGCATTTTAAATGATAGATACTGTCAAATGCTTTCCACAGAAGGTTGAACTAATTAAATAAAAAAGTCTGAGAATGTGTATTGTGCTAGTTTCACCAACACAGTGGCTATAAGACCTTCAGATGTTTGCCATGTCATAAGTAGGCATATGATTTTATTATAATTTTTTGTTGCTGTTGTTAATCCTCACTGGAGGATATTTTTTCCCATTGATTTTCAGAGAGGGAGGGAGAGACGGAGGGAGGGAGGGAGGGAAACATCAATTGGTTGCCTCCAACATGCACCCCAACAAGGAAGGGGATCGAACCTGCAACCCAGGTGCATGGCCTTGACCGGGAATCAAACCTGCGACCCTTCAGGGCTCAGGTCGACACTCTAACCGCTGAGCGACACCAGCCAGAGCTTATTATAATTTTAATTTGCATTTCTCTTATAACATTTTGTACCTATTAGAGGGTTCCTTTTCTGTGAACCCTCTAACTTTCATTTTTATACCAGATTGTTACGTTTTTCTTATAAATCTACAGGAAGTTTTTATAAATTAAGGAAATTAGCCTTTCAACTATGGTGTGATGTGTGAATCAATTTTCCCAGTTGGTTTTCTGACTTTGATTATGGCGGAGTTTTTTACCATGCAAAAAAAATTTTTAATAGTCAAATTTAGCAATCTTTTCTATTTCCTGAATTTTATATCATACTTATAAAGTCCTCTACTTTAAGTTTAGAATTTTCTCATTTTATCTTCTAATACTCTACAGTTTCTTTCTTTACATGAAACATAACTTTTAAAAATCATAGATCTTACAATTTTTGGCAGTATTTAATAGTTGTATTTTCCTTTAGTTTGCTGTAAATACTGAGGCATATAGGAAACGTTCACTATATCAGGATAACTTTAAGACATAGCTCCCCTATTAAATACATAGTAAAAAGAACCTATTGATAACAGACTTTGGACAGTATGTAAGGCAAGTAAAACTTTTATTCCCACCCATCAGTATTTAAATAAGTTCCACTCTATCAAAATGTAGTAACTTCCTAGAATATAAATTATGTAAAATAATTCAGCCCACATAGTGCCTGATTTGATACACTATGGTGATAGTACTCATAATCAATATAACTTACATAATACCATATAAAAATATCCAAGAAAAATGTATAAAATCTATTAAAAACAAAAAATTTTCCATTAAAAAAAACCTCAACTAAAATGCTTAAAAGTTTTTCTATCTTCAGAAATTTACTTCTTTGATCTCAAAAATACCTCCTTTATGCTAATCATAAACATCAGGAACATATGAAATGCATTTTGTTTCTATTGTACTTTTTTCGGTTAAGAAATGACAGGAGGGTTTAGGCAAAAATCAAGTTCCGTTTTTATAAGCAAATAGTCTGCAAAAAATTATAAGATAATATGATCAAATTAAATATACCCAAATAAAGTTTTCCCCTATTAACTGAAGAATTTAAAACAACTCTCAATTCAAAAGTTAACTTCTCTTTTTCTCCCTATGACAAGACCTGTCCTTCTAAGTCTTTTCTTCATTATTATTAATCTGCCTCTGCAACCCCATGTAATTTTTAAAAGAACAGTTAAAGGAGGCACTTTTACTATTGCAACAAACTAAAAACCTTAAGACACTTATCCCAGTTTCAACTGATGCACAGGGAATTAATCCTATGTCTACTGGATTTCTCATCTGAAGTCTTAATTTATGTTCATAATTAATTCACGGATATTTCAGGAAACATTTTCTATGTTAAAATTAAATCATGAAACAATACAAATGATAGCTTTTACCTGATAAGGACAGGGGATATGGTACTGACGACAATGGTCAGAGACCCAAGTTATCTCCCAGGTAATCCTGTTCACTTGCTCATAGACGTAACACCCAAGAAGTGTCACTAATGGCACAAGATACAGGCCACTGAAGACTCCAATTCGAATCATAAATTTCTTTAGTTTCTCTTGGTTACGGCCATCGTGCTGTATCACTTGTCGAACGTGATTTAAGGAAATGATGCCAGCTAAAAGAAGAGATAGCCCGACAAACACACAAAGGCACAGTGGCAAGAGTACAAAGTAGCGAGAAGCATCCAGGTCATAAAGGCCGACAAAGCAAACCCCACTAATGTTGTCTCCCTCAACTTTGTTCATGGCAAGAAGCATAACAGTCAGAAAACCTGGTATTCCCCACGCAACAGCATGAAACCACACCGCTTTCTGTTCAATGGCTTCACAGCTCCACTTTCTTCCTGCAGCTAAGAACCAAGTAATGGTAAGAATCACCCACCACACAGTGCCGGCCATTGTGAAAAAATACAAAAACATAAACAAAACGGTGCAGGCCTTATTTTGGGAGCCTAGAACAACTGTATCACCAACGCCTAGCTTCTCATCTGCTTTATTGCAGGCTGTGCTATTGCCTAGCAAGAATCCAATAAAATACATCAGAGATACAATGCTGTAACAGACAGAGTAATATATAATTGGTCTCTCTGGGTATCTGAATCTTTTAACATCGATTAAAAAAGTAAGAAATGTGAACAGAGTTGCACAGAGACAAAATATTGAAACTATTCCTATAAAACTTTTTGCAAACTCTAGCTCATCGCTTTTAAAGTACATGTTGGGGCATGGAGGTGCACACTGGTCAATTCCCAGGAACTTATACCCTTGTCCCCCAGAAGTCTTAAGATGCCTTGGACACCAAATTCCAATGTCTCTTTGGACTTGTTCTGTTTTCTTCTGAGGACCAAGAAACTCTGTTTGTGGATCAAGAGTTACAGGAAAAGTCTCATCACAATACTGTAATCTGTAAAGATTATAAAAATTAAATATATAAAGTCAACATTTTTTGAGTCAATATTTTAATGCTATGCTTTCCAACTACAAAATATTTCCTTATGCATTCATAACTGATGGGAAGCACACAAACCTATAGAGATTACAGGTTAGAGTGGGGTAGAAAGTTTTGATATTAACTGAAAGTTTGTGGTTGTTCATGAGGCCTTAACACACTAACATATACTAAATACAAGGCAAACGAACATAAAAATTCCCTTACTTGGAAATCAATCCATTTAAGAATAATGTCTGCTCTCAAGACTAAATATTTAAGAAAAAATTATCTTGCTTGGTACTCTCTCACATCAATGTTTCCCTCCCTCCCTCCCTCTCTGAAAAGCAATGGGAAAAATATTCTCAAGTGAGGATTTAAAAAAAATGAGTGGAGGTTTTAAAGAGAAAGCATTTTAAATATGCTTAGGTAAGAACAGAAAATAATAAAGTGTATGCCCATAAAACAAACACTCAGAATCTACCAACTTTTCCAAAACTTAGTATTATGTCAGTTTTGCTTTATATCTTTTAAAATAAAGCAACATAACATTATAAAGTCGGAACCCTTTTCTATTTTCCTTTCTCTCCTCAGAAATATTCATTATCACAAGTTCAGTTCTTCTCATGTATCTTTTAGTATTCTTACTACGCTATTTTCTAACTATAATGTTGCACAGTTGTTTCATAGGTTTTGAACTTTATATAGATGACATCATGCTGTATATATCATACTATAACTTCCTTTTTTACTTAACACTGTAATTTTTAGGTTTATCCACATTGAAAGACGTGGACCAACTGCACTCATTTCGTCAACTGTATAGTAGCATTCTAGCGTGTAAATATATCACCATTTACTAATTTTTACAACAGAATTTTTTTTTTCATTTAAAAAACTAGGAATAATGCTACAATCAATATGTATGATTCCTTGGTGTAAAAGTCTCTGTGAAAGGTTTCCTAGGTTGTAGGGTATAAGCATCTTCAACTTGACTGTATACAGTTGACCCTTGAACAATACGGGTTTGAACTGCATGGGTCCACTTACACGCAGGGGTGTTTTTTCAATAAGTCCTTTAAGTGTGTTTTCCTTACGATTTTAATAACATCTTTTCTCTAGCTTGCTTTATTATAAGAATACAGTATATAACACATACAACATACAGAACAGCTGTTAAATGACTGTTTATGTTATTAGTAAGGTTCCCGGTCAACAGTAGGCTATTAGTAGTTAAGTTTTTGGGGAGTCAAAAGTTTTGCACAGATTTTCAACTGCATGGAGGTCGGTATCCCTCACCCCTGGATTGTTCAAGGGCAACTGTATTACTCAATTGTTCTTGAAAATAATTATTAATCTACCAGAAATGTATGAGTTCCATAAAGTTCCTTCAGTCTACAGACAAACAAAAAGGTAGCCAGCTTCCTTCCCAGATTGGTTACGAGTTCTCATTGTATCAGTATATTTCAAATTACAAGCTACCATTGTCCAGAGAAAAGGAAACAAAAATAATCAATCAACACCAACGTGCAACAAGGTCAGTGAATTGATGATAAGGTTCATTTCCCCCAGGTAAGGTCAAAGGCACCATGCATGTTCTCATGGAACTATGCAACTCTGCTTTCTTATACCTAAGCACAGCTGTAAATTTGCATTTCTTTGCATAATTATACTTGATTCCTCTCCATTCCTTCCCCCCACTGTAAATTGCCTGAGAATCAGAACCAAGTCTGGTTTTGCTCACCACTGTGCCCACTACACTCATCACCCCACGCCTGGCATATATTAAGGTGTAATACACATTTGTTGAATCAAACAATGAAAACCTGTCCTCTAACATTCTGGAACGCTAACACCAATATAAAAATGCCATTATCATTAGTGGTTTTCCGTTGAAAACAATTTACCTGTCACATTTAAGTTCCTCAGGCCATTGGATCCCAAAAGTGTCAATTAATTTTTTGCAATCAGAATATACTTTCTCACAAATTCTACGACAAGGTGGAACCACATGAATTTGCTCTGTGCAGGTTGGTACAAAAGCTTTGCAAAGGAAAGTTTCAACATTTGGTGAACATTCCAGATTTGCAAGAGGATGAAAGAGCTATTAAGAAAAACAGCAAGATAAGGTTAGAAAACTTTTTAATAACAAATGGAGAAATTAATTCATTTACGGCTTAAAGTATATACATTTTCACTTATACTCCAAAAGAATCTTTAAACATCACTCTCAATACAATCAAATTTTGAGATCATTTTGTTTAGTCTGTTAGATGTTGGATCCTGCAGACACAATGCAATATTATTTTACTCAATACATTTTTTAGAAGACATGCTTAAATCAAAGCAAATCAAAAGCATGAGTTGATTGCTAGGTAAAATAAATTATACAAACGTCCAATTTATAAGTATATGCTGAAATACCCGAGCACTGTACTGAGTATTCTGGAGAGTAAGCAATTTGGGGGACAGAGGAAACAGCATGAAAAAGACCAAGAGCATGGTGCATTCAGGGCAAGAAGTTCAGTGCCTGGAATGGAAGGTCAGAGGCATAATCAAGGTCAGACTAGAAAGAGGGGCTGGAGAAGTATGCTGGACCTGGTAATGGAGGGCACGAAGGACATGCTAAGTTTCTTGGATTTTAAAATAAAGGCATGAAATATTGGAGAGTTTTAAGCAGGAAGGAACTCTAGAGTCTGACAGCTGAGTGTGCATCCTAGGTACACAGAAAACCCTCAAATTACAATGAGAAAAAGGTAATCCAATTTCTCACTGACATCCCCAAATCTTGTCTGAGAATTTAAGTGCCCTGATCTAATGCTACTTTTAACAATACTGTAGCATAATAAATCAGAGCTCTGATGTATTCAACACTTACCATAAGCGAGGCCCTGTGCTTTTTCATATACCAATTCTTTTTACAACAACTTAAAACATCAATGCTTTTGAGATTCTACCATTCAACAATAACTAAAACAGTCCTGTTGATTATAGGTTTAATGCTCAGTGAATTAAAACACAGGAAATGGCAAGTCCCTGGAAGAAATCTATGGTAGTTACCTATTAGTACCAGCAGGGACAAAGAAGAGGGCAATTAAAACAGCCACTGATACCTCCATTCTGAAAAGTAGACAGAGCCAAACTATGATAAATAGACAATGAGAACCAAAAAAGTGGAGCATTTTATATAATCCTTGACTGGAAATAATGCCAGCATTATAATTCTGGTTATAGCTCTGCACTAACTTCCGGTGCCACTTTTGGCAGATAATTTTCTGTCTTTGAGTCCAGAGCATCCATTAGTGAAATGAGAGTGATGAACCAGATGATCCCTAAGGACACTTTATGGCTCAAAAAGTTTATGAAGGGGATAGCAAAGCACTGAGTAGCAGGGCTGGATATAAATTTCAAAACTGTAGGTACTACAATGAAGTCTTCTCCTTGGTGGGTAACTCTGTCTTGTACTGAGCTCTAGAGTCAACACCTATCATTTCTGTCTGCCCAGCAGTCCTATTTTTGGAATTCCAAAGTAGGTGGGATGCTACAGAAGCTCAGGGAAGGATGCTATAGAAATGCAATCTGACAACAGAAACAGCTTGGCCATGTAGATGCTCCAGGTATTGTGATATTTTGGGAGAGGATTGTACAAAAGAACAGATACAGTCAGATTATTTGAGGCAACTGCAGTGGGCTTAATAATGCCCAGTGTCAAAATAAGTGTCTAGGGACAATGGCATTGACATTGGGGACAGACTGATCCTGTGACATGATCTTAGTTGGGTCCTGATTCCCTTGGCTCCTCCCTATAATCTGAACCTGGTTCTTCGGCCTTCCCATTGATTTGGCAAGCTATCCAATATCTGTCCATTTTCTGCTTAAGTTAGTCAGAGTCGGTTTTTATTGTTTGCAAGCAAGACAACCAACTGGTACAGCGATTATCTAAAGAATGGGTTATTAGGGATCTTGGTAAGAGGAATTCTGGAACTGGTTTTCTAGACTAACTGGAAATCTGACAGCCCATGGTATATGGTAGAAAAACAGCTGATTGTATAATTCTGGGGGTGGGGTCAGTGACCTGTTTTAACAAACCTTTCCCATGATTCTGATGCACATCGAAGTTTGAGAAGCACTGCCTTAGAGGAATATCAGCTCTGCAGCTCTGTGCCTCAATTTCACTGCCAGAGGCTCTAACCGTATCACTGTTTGAAGGGACATTATACTGGCCCATTATACAGTCAAATCTTGGTTCTTGAACATCTCCCATCTTGAACAATTCAGTTCTCAACCAAGCTGTTCACAGGAAAAAATGTCTGGGCTGTCCTGACAACCCTTTCATGCTGATACCTGTATGATCAGCCCTGTGTCTCTCAGGCGACAAAGGCGAGAATGCTGGAGTATCAGTCAGTTTTCTGCTAAACCTTGCGTTGTTAACATCTCAGGAAATTGTGCTGTGAATATTTTCATGTTTTTTTGCTTTTGTTGCTGCTTATTATTAAAATACGTACAGTAAGTCACCATGGGTCCTAAGAAGGTTAGTGATAGCAGCAAAGTGAAAAGGAAAGTTGTGAGAACAATGGAGCTTAAAAAAGAAATAATTGTAAAGTGTGATAGAGGTGTTCATGTGTCAGATCTCACTACTGAGTATGGCGTGGGGAAATCGATGATCAGCATAATTTTAAAACACAAAGAGGCAATCAAGAGTGCTGACGTTGCCAAGGGTGTGACAGTGCTCACAAAGCAAGGATCACAGGCAACTGAGAAAGGTTAAAACACAGAATTATCAGGGGCCTGGACAGATTAATTCAATTTATATCATTTCAAATGGGAAAAAAGATTCAGTTTTTGAACAAATCGCTTCTTGAACAGGCTTCCGGAATGAATTAAGTTCGAGAACTGAGGTTCCACTGCATTTAGGACATAAAGCTGATGAGGCCATAAACATGTGCCAATGAGGAGATTAACCCTGCATAAATAAAAGGGGCTTTCTACCTTGGTTTTGCTAATACTTCCTAGTACAGCCTGGACCCAACTATGAGACACCTAGAATAGACAACCCAACTACCTCTCCTTAGCGGGGTGTTATCTAACTCACCTACTCATGACATCAGGTGTACTCAAACAGCATTCTATCTTCAAGTGGCCCGAGCAGAAGACATGGGAAAGAAGTGTGAGCACATCACTCACACTCTCAGAATGCCTACTTCCGCCATACTCCCACCTTTTCCTGAAAACACACCCACTAGTTCCCCTATGCTGTAATGACATGATGACAGAAGGAAACACAACAGGGGCCTGGGGCTTGAGGCAATGTAAGATCCTGAAGAGAAAGTCTGGGTTAGAATTCTAATAGAGAGGGATCAAAAGAGGAAAGATATTTTGATGTTTTAAAAAAATATAAAGCTAAACCTAAGCAGAGTGGTCCTGCATCAGTGTCTCGGCTGTGCCTTGCTTCCTTTGGTGCTAAAGGCATGAGATATGTAAACGTGCCACTTTTCTGAAGCATGAATGAGAACCCACTGGTCCATGGAAGCAAGCCACCTTACCAGTGAACAAGGCCAAGTGACTGCAAGCAGCCAAGTCTCACTTCAGGATTTATGCTTTCTACTCATGGCGGCATACACAAGAACTCTCAGGAAGTATTAAAAGCTGTATTTCTTTAAAATGGCACCAAAAAGAAAGATAGCTCCTAGTGATGGTAATGAAAATAGAAAGTGCTTGTGGGGGAAAAACTGATGGACCTTAGCTAGACAACAGAGTCATTAATGATCTAAAGGGGTCCCTAAAGGTATACGCCTCACAGAACAAATACCGTCCAAGTGGTTACAAGGGGCCTGCGGAAATCCTTTGAGAATATTAATGAGCTACTGTATAATAAAGTGGCAAAAACACTGCCACTTATTTCCATGAATGTGACCAACCACAGGCAAGTCAGCTTCTATAACAAATGCAAAGCGGAACCTGGAATACAAGAGAAGAATAAAAAGCAGAAATCTGCATTATTTCCATAATGGAAAAGTTCCTCTTTTTAAAATATTTCTTAGCAGAGAGTACTACTAATTTTTAATTATTTATCCAAAAGAGCTTTTCTTTGGAAATTAAACAAATATGCACAGTAACTGATTGGCACTACAGAAAAATCTGTCCACTCAAGTGTCATTTTTTTCATTTAAAGCTTGTAACTTGCAAAACTGTAATTCAGGGGAAGCTCCACATTCAGGTAGACACTCAGTAAACATTAATGAATACATGAAAAATGTACAATCTAAAGTAATACGGCTTCTTTATCTACATGCCACATCCTCAAGAAAATACGGAGTCACAACATCACAGTCGCCCCATAGTCTCAAAGAACCACGTCCCTTTGTGACCAGAATCCCCTGAGGGTGTAACTAATAATATCCTACACCCAGAATATCAGGGGATGGCTCTGCAGGAACCTGGTGCCTATCAGCAGAGCCTCCCAGAAGAAATACAGACCAGTCCTGATTCTGTGGATTCAGAAGTAGTGAATATACTTTCCCTACTACTGCGACGCCAACATCACAGAGGAAAGCAGCTTGTGGTTGCTACATTTAAAACACAACAGTAGCCACTACACACACACACAACTGACTTGGAACACTTCTCAATACCTATTTCATTGTAAATGACTCAATAGCTCACTTTCAGAATACTTACAGCTATTTTCAGAAAGCCTTCCCTGAAAAATAAAGAGGTTGGTCACACTAAACCTTTTCTTGCCCATGTATGGGGATCTAGAGTAGAAAAGGAGGAAAAGACCGGGTTCACCAGACTCTTCTACAAGCAGAAAATGAAAATGTTTCAAAGCCACTGCCCACTAGAAACAGGTTTTTTCTTCAGTTTGTTTATACAGGTTTTCTCCATTCCTTTATTTTTAATTGAATAGAGACCTTTTAGTAGTGCACATTAACAGGTGGAAAGAAAAGGGCTTTTTTTTTCTTTAGCTCACTTCCCTTTAGACTTTTCAAAAGCAGAATGACCACATGCTGTTCCAAACATAATACATAACTCTGCCTTTGCCTAGACCTCAACGAAGGCAATTCAAAAGGAAAAATAAATGTTCCCGTTTCCATTTTCCCTAGATCAGTCTCTCAAGGGACTTCAGCCTAACAATTTGAGAAACAATGCTCCAGATATGAAACAAAGAGGGAAACAAAGAGGGAAACAATGGGAAACCAGCAGCCATTTGTTTTTCCACCTGGGAGAATTAGACTGTACAACATCCTTTCTAAGAAGCCAAGTTATTATTCAGAATTGTAAATTAACTCCTTGTAATACAAATGAATTTAGCTTCAGTTAATAAAATAAGGAAAAAAACCCGAAGTCCCTGATTTCAAGCAATCTCTGAAATAAAACTAAAAAACCCAGGATAGCCCAGTTCAGATCCTTTTGGTTAGTGATAAATTTGACTTAAAAAATTTCTGTGTAAATAACACATAACTCAGGTAACATGTTAGTAAGAATGCACAATAATGTTTATTTACACATGCTATATATGTATAATCCTTAAGAACATTTTCAAGTACTTTAAACCACTGCCTGTTTTTGTAAATAAAGTTTTATTGGAACACATCTACACTCATTTGTTTACATATTGTCTAAGGCTGCTTTCTACTGCGATTACAGAGCTGAATAGCTGTGACAGAGACTACACGGTTTGCAAGGCCAAAATATTTATAATTTGAGTCTTTATGGAAACAGTTTACATTCCCTGCTCTGAAGTAGTGGGTCTCAAAATAGTTCTTATTAATCAATGAAAGTCTCACTGCATTATTTGCTCAGTGTTAAAAATCATATCCTGCACTGGTTTGAAAGACCACTGAAAGATTACAATAATGTAACTTGTACTGCCCATTTCAAGTACATTGACTTAGTATTTAAAAGCCTTCCTATTTTAGACATGAGTCTACCATGAGGTAGTCCAACAACTATTCAACTCAACAACAATGGAAGACTTTTGAAGCTGCAAAATCAAGTTTAGTCAGTTTTTAAAGTAGTGTCTATATTAAAATTATAGGGGTTTTGTCTCTTAGCAACAATTGTAGGGGAAAAGAAGCCTTTACCATCCCTGGACAGTTTTCCTGGAGAAACACTGCACGGACATTTGTCTTCTTTCCTTCCTGAGACGTATCAACCCAACAGACCTGTAGAGCAGGGCTGGTCACTATCTCTATAGGTAACTCTCTTCCCACACCTCCCTAGCAATCTGCATCTCTCTAAACCAACGGCAGGCAACTGAGGCACCTCAGGCAATCTTTAAGATCACTCTGCTCCTCCCCGACATGAGTTTTCTTTAAAAAAGCATCTTACAAAGAATATTTAAGTGCCTTAAAAAAGGTCACTTTTTAGCAAAACACTACCTACAAGCCCCCAAATCTTCCAATAACTGATCTGCTCCAGAAAACTGTGCCGAGTGAACATTACAACTACTTATGAAAATATATGGAGTCCAGACAATATAGGTTTGTGCGTTCAATGAATTTAGAATTCATTGAAAATTTCAGAATTCACATTAGAGGAACTACCATAAATTGATTCAGAAAAGCGAAGTATTTGCCAGGTGTAAGATATTTCTAAATCATTCTGAACCACACTTTCTATAAAATGAACCCCAAATTAAGCAAATCCACAAAACAGGGCCCCAAACACACACAAAACATAAGTTTGTAGGGGAATTTAATTCTCAAAAGGATGTATTCCAAATGTGACTTGTATGCAACTGAAAGAATCCCTTACTGTCTTAAAAAAACAAAACAAAACAAAAAAAAACACACGTATAGTTCATTCCAGAACAGCGCACAAACGTTTCTATAAAGGCAGAAAGCTACTTGCCTCCATCTTCACAGCCGCCGTGCTCTGATCGTAGTGGCCCATGAGGTTCGGGAAATAGGTCATGTTGTAGGCCATGTTCATGCACCTGGGAACGGTGACCGGTTCACACGTGAAAAGGCTGTGCCCTCTCGCGAGGGGCAGAAAAACACACGTCCACAGAAGCGCCAGCATCCCCATCTTCCTCACATGCCTGCTTCTACCACATGGTTTGACTCAATCGCTCTTTTCATTCTCCGCTTTCCGTCCAAAGAGAAAACGTTCAAACTTCTCGTTTCGTTAATTTTACCATTTTGAAAGCAGCTCTTTTCCTGAAAATGGGCCCCGGGTCAGTCCCTGTAAAAACAACCAAGAGGGCGCATCAGGAACATAAACATAACCGCGGCCGCGCGAGCGCGGAGCTAAGATTTTCCCCCGCGGGCAGCCAGCCCCGGAGGACGGCGGAAAATCCCGG